AAATATAATTAATTTATCCACATCGAGCGCTATTATAAAAGTTCCAATAAAATATAAGTAAAGTTCTACTAAAAGCTCAATTTTACCTCAAGACGAATCTGAGTGGAAAGCATAGCAGAACAAAGAAAACTATTAAACATTTTTTTTTTTTTTTTTTTTTTTTTTGTTATATTATATTTATGAACCATCATAAAGCAGACTTAAGCAAACTAAAAAGTTCACTTAATTGCAAAGTTTAAGCATAAAATATAGATTTTCAAGCCATTGGCTTTAATCATGATGGGCTTACAGCCCAAACTAAGAATCATCAAAAGCGCTAGCTAAATAAATATATAAACAAAATACAAAAATAAATCTTCCTTTACCTAATACATGCAAAAAGAATCAACATAAAAAATATAACAACTGGAACACACATCTCAAATAATTGTTGGCATTGCGAACATGAACAGCAAGTGTTGAGTTTTCATTTTCATGCAACTACTAAAAACCGGGAAAAGCTGATGTATCAAAAGTTTCCACATAACGGAATGCATGCAAAAATGGCGTGCTCAAAAGCAAAACCAAAAAAAAAAAAAAAAATGAAAATAGACACAACAAAAATACTTGTAGCATGTAGCTACACAATTTGTTGCTCCCGCGGGCCACTGGGGGCTTCGCTATAGCTATACGACCTGACCCTGGAAAACAAGGCCTCGCCCCCTCCAGCTGCAACACGCGGCGTTGATTATTGTGTAATACCTCGCCGGAGCTCGACAAATACAAAATGAAAATATGCTAAGGCGGGCATGCCCGACTAACATGGTATCTACTGAGCCAGCGCTGCGCTGCACTCTTACTAATTCTCCAGCTTCCTTTCATGCATATATGTTACACATACATACATACATACATACATATATTTTTGTGGTATATATTATGTACAAAAACACACGCAAGTTTGCAAGAACAATTCAGCCGCAGGCTGTGCATTTTCTTTTGAGCATGGAAAATGCGTGCGCGGTGTAAGTAATCCATCAGATTTTTAATACATATTTTGAGTTACTTAAATTTGTGGCAATAGCTCTGGTTAGCGTAGTAAATTTATGGCAAATTATTAACTGATTAAACCCTAGAATAGTTTTTACCCGATGTAATATATTTTCAATTGTTTCCATCTTCGTAAGAACAAACATACATCGTATCCTTTGACTGCCTATCATAAAGGCATCCACATGGTTTTGTCTGCAGGTTTTGTTTGTCCTCCACATTGAACGCACATTATTTTTATAGACAATGAAAAGTTTTACTAATTAGATTCATTAGAATTTGCGTTGAAAATTAGAAATGGACATAAACACATATAGAAAATATTTTTTATAAAAAAAAAAAAAAAAAGATGAAGATATTTCGAACAGCGAGGTCACAGCAAATTGCAGTAATTTGAATTTATTTCTTGAAAGTGCGGCAAACAGAGTCTAGAGCCAGCACGAGTCCTACACGACTCCAGTTTCAATAAGCAGTAGCCGGGCCAACGTCAACATAAAATGCCAATAAATTGAAAAGCAATATGAATTAACTTTTTGGCTCCCTCGCTCGTTCGCTCTCTTGCAGCCCGGCTGGCTGCAGCCGAAGTATTGTCCTGCTGCGTCATTGTCCTGGTTTTAATAATTTATGCCCCACCAAAGGGACACTTAAAATGCAACTGAACTGCAACAAAGAGCCAGCAATAGCACCCAAAACTTTCCATGTAACTTCTACTTTAACAACCCAGACTGAGAGAGAGAGAGAGAAAGAGAAAAAGAGAGAGTGTAATGCAGAGACGTGGAATGGGAGGGGCAGCAGAGCCAACCCCTTCAAATTGAACAAATGAAGTGCAAAGCAACTGAAGACTGCGAGCCGGCTGAGAGGGCAAACTATTAACTGGCAACAGCCATAAGGACCTTCAATGAAACATGAGCGACGGTTGCCACCAGGCCAAGCACCTAATGGAACTTGGTCATATGTTTCGCAAAATATGAAAAATGTTTCCATTTTGTTCTCTCTCGCTTCGCTTTTGGTGTATGTGCTTCCAAGTATTCCCTCATGTTCTCGTGTGCCTCTTAGACACAGTTTTATAACACTTTTGAAAAGTTCTCAACTTGGCTTATACTTAAGGCTCTGAACTGAAATTAATAGTTTTAAGTTTTGAGCACTGAAATGGAAGTGATCTAATTATAACGGTATTATTGTCTTTTAATGGATATTATTATAGGGATAGAAATCGACAATTTTTCGGTGTAATTAATTAATGGAAATTATCATTTAATTATTTTTATATATAAAA